TCCCATGTAGTCGTCCGCGGTTTGAGTCCCAGGTGGCTTAAACTCACACCGGGCACGTGTGCGTGCATGCCCAAGATCCGAAGAGGAGAATGGAGGAGAAGGGATTGCGGTGTGGCCATCCCCCCTGGGGAGTGATTTCTCGCTGTCTGCCTCTCTGTCTTTGTCTTTCTAGTGAGTGCATATGCCCTATAGCAAAAACCTCACAAAACAACAACAACAACAAAAAATCGCTCCCTGGGGTGGCAGTGGACAGAACCATCCCGGACTCTACACAGACTATCCAAATAAGCTGTTGGCCTGGCTCATTTTCAAGGAGCACAGTCCTGCGGGCCACAGCCTTACCCAGTGCCAGTTCCTCACCATGAAGTCGATGTTGCTGTCCTCATTCCGGAAATACTCCATCAGCTTCTCAAAGCGGTGCAGCTCCTTGCACACCTGAACAAGCAAATTTTCTCAATAGGAGAGTCTGTCCCACGCAGAGCCCGAGCTCCTGGGCCCTGGCTCCCTGGGACATCATGGCAAAGGGACTGGTTCAGACCAAACTTGACCGCAACTTGATCCAGCAAATGAGCCATTCTGGATGCTACAGAAGGAAACCAGGGACCTGTGATCCAGGGCCTCTGGTCCCCCACTAACTTGCTGAGAGAACTCAGTAAAGCCTGTGCTCTTGGGGTGGGCTTTAAATGCCTCTGGAGGTGGGGCAAGAAGAAACATGAGGGCCCGATGCTGAGTTATCGAAGGCAGGCAGACAGGAGGGAGGGAGTCAGGCCATAGCTAGGGCAGGAGGCTGAGGTCCTAGTAGCAATGAAGGGGAGGGGCCAGTGTGCAGGAAAACCCTCTGCTGAGAGGGGTGCGGGGGCTCCTCTGAGCCTTTGGGCTTCAAGGAGGAAGAGCCATTTCCTGGCTTGAACAATGGATGCTAGGGAAGAGGTCCAAAGAGGAGGAAGGAGGTGGGACCAGCAGCTGTGACTGGATGTCGAGGAATCCTATGTCAAGCTGATAGGTGTTTCGGAGCCAGCCCAGAGCTGGGGAAATTCCACCTAGGTCTTCCCTCACGAAAATAGCCAAGGACCCAGGAGACATTCTGCTCAGCTTCTACTCCCCCAAGGCAGACGCGTCTTCGTGGGTTCTACTGATGGGTTTGCTGCATCAGAACCACCTGGGGGGGACTCTTACAGGTATAGATACTCAGGTCTCAGGTGGGTCTGGAGTGGGGCATGGGGACCTGGACTTTTAACAAGCTCCTCAGGTGATTCTCACATATAGCCACATTAGGACCATGGACTAGAGCGCTCAGCTATCTGACAGTATCCTTAGCTGGCCAGTCCAGAGGTATCCTGGCACAAGATCTAGTGAGAGACCGAAGTTCTGGTTTGCTTTTTTTTTTTGGTAAAGAGGGGGGCGGAGGGCAATGCAACCTGCTCAGCCAAGCACTGGGATGTTAAAGTCGCTTAAGATCCCAGGAAATGGTGTTTTACAAATTGGCTCCCTTGAAAATACACAAGCATATGAAGGCAGGCAACTGACCTCTTTGAAATTGTCAAATGCAGCAAGGATGATTTCGTGACCTCCCCGCACCAAACACACAGCTGCTAGGAGTTCTAAGACGAGGGCTTTGGTCCTAAGGGGTGAGGAGAGAAGGTGAACATCCCAGCTCCCCACCTGAGCCATCACACTAGCTCATTTCTGTGACTGCGTGAGACCTCTGAGAGTAGACAGGTGAGGGGCACTGTTTAGGAAAGAAGGCTTGCTCCCTAAGCTGTGTGGACCAGAAGGAAGCCAGGGACACTTCTCCTCTTGCAGATGAACAGGGGGCGGTTGCAAATCATAGGTTTGGCCCTGGCCACGAGACCCCAAGGCCACACAGGCTTCTTTTCAGAGAACACAGGTCTCCAGAGCCCTGGGCAGAGTGTGGCTCTTTAGAACACTGCAGACGGAGGGGAGGGGAGGGACGAAACTCACCTGGGATTCTTGTTGTTGAGGCTGAGTGCGATCTCATTGACAGCGTGGGGGTGAGACATGACCAGGTTGAATCCATACTGTAAGGGAAAGGACAGGAGGGGACCTTGATGGAGGAGAAGGCAGACAAGCTGGATCTCCTGGGCTGTGGGCCCTTCAGCACACCTGTCTTTTATAGCTGCTGCCCTCCCAGCTCTCCCGGTTTGGCAGACGAGCAGCAGAGGTAGTGCACCCTGGGCCAGTGCTGCCCCCTTACCTGATAGTTCATGATGGCTCTGAGGCAAAGGATACAGACGTGGACGTCATCCTTCTGGCTCACCAGGCGGGAGTTCTTCAGGGCCCTGCGCCCAGGGAGAGTGCTATACCTGGGGGAGAGGGGCCAGGCAGTCAGGCGGGGCTGAGGCTGCTGCTGAAGTGTCCAGGAGCGCTCACCATCACCCAGATGGCAGGCTGCCCCTGGCAGCAGCAGAACTGGTGGGGAGAGGGCCTGTGCCAACAGCCAAGAGACAGGGTGCAGGAGGCAAGGCAGTCCACCAGTTGTCACCTCCCTGAAACAGACCTCTGTCAGCAACTACACAAGATCGCAGCTCTGTAACCCAGAAGTTCAACAAATACAAACAGGAGCTGCGTAGGCCTTCCAGGTCCTCAAGGTGGGTCCAGAGACACTCATCTGCACCTGCCACCCTCCTCCCTTCCGTGCTCCTGGGGAAGCAGCGTCTTGGCTCTATTCCACTTCCAGGTCCCCAAAAGCTTTATGAGGGCCGGGGGTACACCCGGCCTTACTCCACCCCTCCACCACCTCAATCGTGTTTCAGGAGAAAAAGCAGCAGCATAGATGGCATCTGCTCATGTATGACCAGAATGGTGAGCCATGTCCGAGGGACAAATCCCAGAGGAGACCTGGAGAGAAGCATGCCAGGAACGAGTGAGGAAGGACAGGGCCACAGGACCCAAGGAAAGACTCCTGGGGTACAGAGGGGCTCTGAGAAGTCATCTGGTCCATCCACCAGCCGTCGGGCAGGATGGTCCTCTCAGACACCGCAAATGAGCACACTGCAGCCTTAGAGAGAGAAGGCCTGAAGGAGGAAGGGCAGGGAAGGCAAGGGGCGGGCTGGGTAGGAGCTGTTCTAAGAGCAGCCAATGGGGCAGAGTGAAGAGCTGGAGAGCATGAGGGCAGGAGCTGGACACCCAGTGAAGGCCCAGTACCTGTGTGAGACTCCCCCTGCCCGAGAGGCCTGGGAAGAGTGGCAGAGTGAGAATGAGAAACGGAGAGGGGGAGGCTGGAACCCCAGGTGGGGTGGGCACAGCCAAGGACCGTGTACTTACCCAGGACAGACCGCAGGGCAGAGTCAGGGAGACAGAGAGGACAGACCAGAGACAGACGGGCAGGCAGAGGGCAAGAGAGCTGAGCCTGGAAGCAAGAGTGGAGGGAGGAGCGTGAGCACTCACCGCTGGTACCCGAGACCTGGACGGGGCTGGGGGCAGGCAGGCAGAGCGAGAGCACACATACCGGAGCACAGACTGGCGCGCAGAGCGAGCGAGGCTGTTGGTGAAGGGGGCCGACAGGGCGCTGGGCGGCTGCAGGTCCTCGATTGACCTGCTCCAGGACCGGAGCTTGTCAAATGCACCATCGTCACCACTTTCCAGACCCTCAAAGTCAAACCTGGAGCACGAAAGGACACACGTGCGCACACACAGGCACAGACATACACGGGGACGTTCAGTGTCAAGCCCCTCTGGTGAGCCCCCCCAGGTCTCTCGGACAAGAAGCAAGGGCAGAGGAGAAGCAGAATTGGACGGGGACACCTCCTCTTGGCGGGGAGAGCCACCACGCAGGACAGGGCTAGAGCAGGCAGGAAGCTACCAGAGGGATCTGAGGAGAAGGGGTGCTGATGGAGGCCAATTCCTCCGCTCCCCACCAGCCAGGCAACCCCAGGAGTGCCCCACCCCGACCCAAAGGGAGCTAGCAGTGTTTCTGCACTCCCAGCCTTGGGCACGACATCTCAGAGACGCTGCGGCTCCCCAGAGACTCTGCCCTGTGGAGGGAGCGCTGGACAACGGGCCAACTGCATGTCTTGCTAGTTGGCAAACGGCAGCAGCCAACTGCCTCTTGGTGCCCTGGGCGGCCCAGCTGGCTCTGGGTTGGACAGTTCAGAACGGAAGTAAATGGGGGTCTCGACAAGCCCGAGGGGGAACATCCTTTGTGTTTAGGAGGCCACGATCACCCCATCCCAGCACTGAGTTTTAATGTCAGGTCTTCCATGGTTCTGGGTACTTGAGGTTTCTGAGTTTCCTTTGGCTTTCCCGAGGGAAGGAACTGCAGACTGAGGGTACAGACAGGTTCTGAAGTCTATAGTCGCTGCAGGAGTAGGGCTGGTTGCTCCGTCAGTTCCTGTTTCTGGAACCAGATGTCTCCTACCATTGGCGGTTTGTGAATGTGGCCAGGACAAGGACAACCAAGATCACAAACCCACATTGGGGTACACCTGCTCTCAGAAACAGCCCTGCTCTCTCCTGCCCTCTTCTCCCTAGTAGCTCACTGAGAACTGGGGGAGCATCTCCTACAGCCTCTGCTCCCCACTCTGCTCAACTATGCACAGCCTTGGGGTCAAAGACACAGAAGCCAGGGCTCCTTAGAACAGGAAGAGAGGGCTGCAAGTGCCCGGATGTCCAGAGAAAGCCAGGGCAGGCCTTGAGCCCTGGGGACCAGGGGGTGTTTAATGGGGCTCTTAAATAGACCTCAGAGGAATCTCCCTGACCGGGAACCAGTTGCTGGTGGCGTCCCTCCACCAGTAACAGTATTCCCAAGCACTGGGACGTGCACTCGACAAATAAATGCCTCCATGCAAACTCCATTTGGCCTTACCCTTTTTCTCTCAACCCAAGACACACTCTCTCTCTCCCCCCTCCTCCCCGAGTCTTTCTTTTTCAGAGTCAAAGTACTGCCACGGACGCTGCACACTGAGGTTCCAGTGTGTTCTGAGTCTAGAGCAGCTGGGATTTGTTTGCTTTTCAAATGAGACAGATAGGCTTATTTGGGAAAATGATCTACATCTTTTTACTATAAAAGCTCTAACTTTTAAAAAAATCACTTCAGCAAATGTTTTTCATTTCTTTCTATAAAAAGAGTGGTTTTTAAAGGGACAGACGGCTCACAGGGTATGACTTCTGCAGGGATGGGATCAGGGAGTGGGCCACTTGCAGTGTTAGTCGAGATTGACCCGCGGAGGTGAGAGAGGGACTAAACCCGGGAAGGCGTCAGCTTGAACCCCTAAGGCGAGCGTCAAGTGCCAGGACTATAGGGTTTCCCAGGACGTGGGGGCCTGGGCTTTCAGCGCCAGGGAAAGTCACAGGCAAACCAGGGATCTCCCTAGGGATGACTCGTCTTGGGCCTGAGTCTGAATGTATTGCTCACCATGTTTATCATCACTACAGTCTGCCCTTCTGTCCATATTTCAGGCCGTCATGGCATGAGAGTAAACCGAATACTAAAATTAACAGAGCTGTTACCACGGTATAGACCTAGTGTGTTCCGAACACTCCCAAATGCTTCAACACACTACCATCTAATCCCTACAGCAATCCTGGAACCTGGATGCCCTTTCACAGAAGAGGACGCAAACTTGCTTGAGGTCACACAGACAATAAATGACGGAACCGAGACCTGAACCCTGCTTTGTCTAACTCAAAAGCCCTCACGGGGCCAGGTGGTGGTACACTGATAATGCAACCGGACCCCTATGGGGAAGGGCCTTGCTGGGCATCTGAACACACACGTGCACACCCACAGTCCAGGCTGGGGGTGGATTGGTGTGGAGACCCTGTTGGAGGTGCCATCTCTCTGTTTCTTTCTCTCACATGGAAGAAATAAATAGACGTTAAAAAATAAATAACTGTTGTTCCTTCTGCTACACCCTGCTGTCTCTCCTGTGCTAACCTGTTTCTCGCTGCTTCCAAGTCCCCCTGCCTGCTTCCAAAAGGCCCCTGAACGCTTCCTTTTTTCTGCCCAGATCAAAAGTCACAAGTGCTGCTCCTAAGTTCTTCAACAACGACCTGGAGGAACCCTGTCATAGCTGGAGACTCAAAGATGCTTCCTGAAAACGCAACTCTACAAAGATGAGTGACTCTTACCACGGCACCCCTCTCAGGAGCCAGGACGTTTCCTTGGCTTGTTCACAGCCTGGTGTCCAGATCCTGTGTGGGTCCTCGTTCCAAGCTCCCTGTCCTTAGCTCTCTCCTCCTGCTCCCCCAAATGTGCCTTCTACTCCAGCCAATGGCATTCTCCGCCAGCCCTCAGGCATCCCCTCGGCTTGCCTGTCCACTTCCACCACCGCCTGGCCTACTCTCTCCAACTTGTGACCCCTGTTCACGTGGTCACTGTTGAAGCCTTATCCTCCTCACCAAGGAGAGTGGGACTGTGTCCTCCCACCCTGGTCCCCAGCCCTAGTCTCAGAGTTGTACTCACATGACAGAACACTGGGCAAAGGACAGGTAATCCACCAGCACATCCAGGCCTTTGTTTTCATCGTTCAGAAACTCCCGTACCCACCTGCAAATAAGGAAAACTCAGTGGACGGGGGTCTGCTAAAATGGGTCAAAGTAAGGAGGCAGCTGGGCTTCTGACCCAAAGCAACCCCTTCTGACTCCTTCTGGAACATTGCACCAGGCTAAGAAAATTCTAAAATCAAGTTCACAACGGGCCGGGTGCGTGGCACACAGTAACACACTTGGCCCAAGGAGAGCTGGATCCCACATAGCGACCACGTTTCAGGTCTTCAGACAGGCAGGGAACGTGTACAAGTGCCCAAGGCCAACAGACTGGAGGAAGGAGTATGTATGACTTGCCCCTGTGGACGGTGCTCTCCCCACGCCCTCTCCCAGGAGCATGCACTCTATCATGAATAAAGGCCAACACTTTTCTGAGAAACCTAAGACAGACTCATCCATGGTCATGTCACTGGCCTGGACTTTCCCTTGGCAGGGGAGGCAGGGATGGGAAAAGTACAGGCCCTTCTAATACCCTCTCGCTTTATCATGAAAGGACCAGACAAGCTTCCAGGTACTCCCTCCTAAAGGGCCAGGGCCCGGCTCCTTCGTGCTCGGTATCCCTGGTGCCTAGCCTGAGGCCAGGCACACCTAGGACTAGGCAGTGTTCGCTGGAGGACTGAGGCCAGAGGGGATTCAGGGAGGAAGGGTCTATGAGAGCTCTGAAACAGGCATACTGGGCCAAAGGGCTTCTCCCCCAGGTTCAAGGACAGTTTGGAGAAGTAGTGAACAAAGGGAATGTGCGGGAGTTATGCACTGAGTCGGGAATTTGGCAGAACTAAATAAGGCGGGGGGTAATGATCAGGAACTCAGGGAATTCCAGAGTGGCTAAAACCACTCAGAGTCAGAAGGACCCTCCCCTCAGCAAGGAAGGCGAGAAGGCAGACAAGCAGCACCCTAAGAACGATGGCCGACGGCATTTCTGCCCTTCTGCTTTCCGTCCCCATGGGCTGATACATCCCTGGAACGAAAGTCGACGGGCAGTCCCAGGAGGGCCTGTTACATGGCAGGTTCCCTCAGCAGCACAGAGACATAAACAGCCTCTAGATGAGACCCTGCCTCTCTCGGAGCGCTGGGGTCTACGTGGGCCGGCTCTGCCCACACTGCCCCAGCAGAGCTGCTACTCCCCACAGCTGGAACGCCATCACCAGGCTGGCCAGCCACACCCCAAGCTGTGGACAGAGGCTGAGGCTGGATCCCTAGGCCCAGCCCAGGTTTGGCAGCAGGCTCTGGCTGAAGCTGACTGACACCGGAGCTGCCTGAAGTTAGCTTCCTCTCCGGGGGCCGACAGGCCTCCCGTTTCCTGTCTGTCTGCTCTCCAGCTCCCCACCCCCTTCTCATTTCCTGTCTGAGTCTACACTGCTATTTTCGGGATCTTGACACTTTGAGGAGAGGTTAAAGGGCAGTTAGAGAAACCAATACAAGCCAGGGAGGGAGGAGGAGCTGGAGAGGCTCTGGAATCCCACTTCCCGCCCACCAGCCTGGCTCTGGAGCCTGCGTTAGTCTGCTGCCCTGCACTCCCAGCCTCTGTAGGCTCCGGGGCTGATCAGGCTGTGACCGAAGCGAGGGCCTCCTCTTCCCTCCTTACTCTGGGCTCCTGCCACCCTGAAGCACCACAAGCCACCCTGACGCCTGACAAACTGCCTGTCCAGAAATGCAAGAAGAATCCTGGCTCTGGCTCTCCCACGTCTTTCTACTCAGAGAAGCCCAGGTTCAGAGGGCAAGGCTCCTAAACTGCTAGGCACTAAACTATTCCCTGGGAGCCAAGCACAAGTTCAGACCTCAACCTGTGTGCCAACTGCCAAGAGACCCCAGGCCCAGGAACCATGCTGCTCCAGCCCTAGCTCCTGGCCAGCAGCCAAATGGGCAGGCACCAGGTAGAGGGGAGGGCAGAGCGACTGCCGCACACTGCCGTGTGGCCCATACCTGGAAGAACAGACCACCATCCACCCCTGAACGGCAAGACCAAGGACAGAGGACAGAGGGGCCTGAGAAGGCAGGGAAGACCCTCTGCAGTAGTGCAGGTGGGAAGAGGCGCCAGAGCTGCCACTGCGGCACTCGCCCTCACACACAGGGAAACTGAGAAGCCCCTGCCAGCTTTCTCTTTGATGAAGCATTCACCAGACGCAGGTGGAGGCTTGGCTGCGCCTTCCCAGGGACTCAGCTTTCGATGTCTGGTTCACAGGAGAGGTAAAGAAGCCACACTAGGGCCACAAGAGCCCTGCGACTGAGGCCAGGAACCACCCCTTTCCTGTCCTCTCCTGCCATTTCCCTTGTGACTGCTGCTGCAGCTGGCTCCGTACGGGTGTCCCCACCCTCTAACAAGCCCCAGGCAGGCTTGGCCTAGGGGAGGATGAGCGGGCTGCTGCAGGGACGGCAGGGGAAAGGCTGATGATGTCATTTGGCTCTTCCTAGCCTGCTCTCAGGAAGCCCAGGAACCTGCGGCTGGCACCTGCCCAGCAGCCCCGCCCTCAGCCCAGCTCCACTCTCTCATTCACGCACCCATCATTCACGCCAGTCCCGTCGCCTCTGCACCTTGCCTGCGGTTCCACGTCAGATGTCCCTCACTGTGCTTTCTGCGTGCGTGCTCACACTCTCTCACCTTCACTCTGTACCACTGCCGGCCACTTTCACAAAACTACGGCCACTGCCACCCTTCACTGTACCTTACACATCAGCCCTCTGCTGGTTCAGCAATTCCTGCTTCCTGGAGTGGGGAAAAAAGATGCTGGGGTTCCTACAGGCCCTGTCAATGGCTTGGCAGCACCAGGGGCTGTGAGAACGGGAGACATTCAATTCTCGGCCTCCGCTGCCTTGCATCTTCTTTACTGGTGTTATGGGAAGCATCTTGTGCTCATGAATTAAGATTATCTTCTCCCAAGCAAGCAACTAGTCTTCTGGGCACCAGGAAGTCCAAAGAGTCACTGAACACGATCTAGATCTCAGCTACTTAATGTGTTTTCCCAACCCTCAGCCCTCTGGGCCTTGGTTGGCCCGGCACCAGGCCACAGGCAGACTCCAGTCTCAGCTGCTGTGGGAATGTCATCCACTCAGAACCACAGACCAAGGACCCCAGGAGAGGCCCAAGCTTGCAAGAAGCATCCAGTCAGCAGCTGGCAGAACTGAGGGAGAGAAATGCCAGCAAAGGAACAGTCTGAAGCTCTAGGAAGCCAGAAGCCTTTCAAGGGGCAAATCTGCCCCATGGCAGGGAGGATAAACAGCAAACCATCCTCAGAAGACATGAGATCCTGTGTGGTCAGGCAACTACTTGGGGTGAAGAGGCTGCGCTGGCCAAATCCAACTCACCCAATGTGGTTGGTGCGAAGTGAGATCTCCAGCTCCCTTAGTACTTTGGTTGACTCCTGCACTCTCCTCCTGAACTTCTGTAAACATGGAATTGTCTGTCAGTGATGGAGGCCCCAGTCTGATTTTCTAGTACCATCCAAGAGGGCAGAAAAGGAGAAGGAGGGAATACGAGGGCAGTTATAGACCTTCCCTCCATCATGGGCTGCCACTCCAGGCCCCTGGCCTCAAGGGCCCAGAAATCCAATTCCCACTGTTCACACCCCCAAGTCAAAGGGCTCGCCCCCACAGCACAGTGGAACGAGGCCTCCCGGCGTCAGACTTCACCTTCCGAGTTACACTGGGATCCAAGAAGCTCTGGAGTTTCTGGATGTAAGTGTGGGGAGGGTTCTTCACCTGGAATCGTTCCTGTGAAAGAAACACACGAAACACCCAGAGTCCTGAGGAGGGCAGAGAAAGGAGAGCACCCACAGCAGTCAGTGTGAGGGGACTAAACTCCCAAAGTTGTCACCTGGCTCTCAACATCGCCCACACCCTAGGTTCCCTTCCTTCATTTAGCCTCAGGAATTTCCCATCTGTCGTCATCTTCTCCTCCTCCGATCAATGCTCCCTAAGCCTAAAAAGTTTTTCTATGTCAAGGTATTTTAAGAGCCAGTTCCATAGCCTAGTGGTTAAGGGAGCTGGATCCCACGTGGTTGACCACGGTTTGAAACCTGGCCACAGAGGCTTGAAAAATACACTGGGCACATGTGTGCATGCTCAAAATCTTGACAGGATGGAGAAATGAAGAAGGGATTGCGACATTGGGTGATGGTGCACTCTCCCTCTTCCTCTCATCCGGCAAACTCATGCACCCTCTGGCAATTGAAAAGAAATTATTTGGGGGCCAGCAGATGGCGTAATTATAACGTTATTGGACTCCCATGTGGTTGACCGCAGTAGAGTCCCAGACCCAGTGGCTTAAACTCACATTGGGCACATGTCTAAGTGTGCCCAAAATCCTGGGAGGAGAATGAAGGAGAAGGGATTGTGGTATGGTCATCTCCCCAGGGGTCAGGGGGTGATTTCTTGCTTTCTGTCTCTGTCTCTCTGGCAAGCACATGAGCCCTATAGCAGAAATCTCTCTTTAAAAAATTATTTTACAAGTCTGCTGCTTGCTTGGGGCCAGCAAGTGGCATGTGGTTGAGACACTGGACTCCCATATGGCCTACTGTGGTTCAAGTCTCAGACCCAGTGGTTTGCTTTCTTTCTCTCTCTCTCTCTCTCTGTGTGTGTGTCTCTCTGGTGAGTGTATGTGCCCTACAGCAAAAATTTAATAATAATAAAAAAATTAAAAATTATTTTTGAAAAAATAATTATTGGGACCAGCAGTTAGCATAATGGCTATGTTGCTGGACTCCCATGTAGTTGACCACAGTTCGAGTCCCGGACCCAGCAGCTTAAACTCATGCTGGGCGCGCATGTGTGTGTGCTCAAGATCCCGAGAGGAGAAAGGAAGAGAAGGGATTGCGGAGTGGCCATCCCCCCTGGGGATGACTTCTCACTTTCTGTCTCTCTGTCTCTCTCCGTCTGTCTGGCAAGCGTATGTGCCCTATAGCAAAAACCTCTCCAAAAAAAAGAAAAAAAATTATTTAATTATTATTATTATTATTCAGTTTGACCAGAGGGAGACACAGAGAGAAAGAGAGCATGAGAAAGCAAGCCACCAGGTTCAGGACTCGAACTGCAGTCGGCCATGTGGGAGTCTAGCACCTTAACCACCATACCACCTGCTGACCCAATAATCCTTAAAAAAAGAAAGAAAAGAGTATGCTGCCTGCCTACACGATATAGGGACTACAGAGTTATGAACAGTACCCAAAAGATACAATTGGGAAATGCTGTTCACTGCCTTGGCCAACTAACTCCAACTGATGGACAGGGTCAGGAAGGCCGAGGGGAGAGAGCTTGGCTTTATGAAAGTCAGCTTCCTCAGACCTGGACCCTGCAGTGAGGACTTGGCTAGCTGTGTGGCGTTAGCACAGCTCACTTTCAGCTCCTTGCCTGAGCCCTAACAATCCAAAGCAACCTCAAATGCTGAAGCCTGCTTTGAACAAGGTCACCCCTGGTCTGCTACAGGGGATGCTGGACCACACTGTCTTTATTTTGGCTCAGCCCCCTCATCTGACCCAAGAAGAAACTCGGGGGAAACCCTTAGCATTTTGGTTCTCTAAGGGCCTCCACAATCAAGGTATCTGAAGAGCTGGGAGATGGACGCACTCAAGAGTCCTGGAGAGGGGGCCAGCAGGTAGCGTGGTGGTTGAGGTGCTGGACTCCCACATGGGTGACTGCAGTTTGAGTCCTAGACCTGGTGGCTTGCTTTCTTGCTTTCCCTTTCTCTCTTTCTCTCTCGTGAGCACATGCGCCCTATATCAAATTAAAAAAATAATAATAATAATTAATAAATAAATTCACATAATTCTTTAAAAAAGAAGAACCAAATTAAGGGGGAAAAAAAAGTCATGAAGGGAACCAGCAGGTGGCGTGATGGTTAAAGCGCTGGACACTCCCACATGGCCGAGCAGGGTTTGAGTCCTGGACCTGCTGTCTTGCTTTCTCACTTTCCCTCTCTCTCTGGTCAAATTAAAATAAATGAATGAATAAATATTTTTTAAAATTAAAAAAAGAGCCATGAAGAATGATAAAATGTTAGGAAATAGGACCTGAAAACACATGAAAGAAAAAGAGGGGCCAGATGGTGGCACTGTGAGGCTGTGAGGCTGACGTGTCCAGGACTGTTCTAGATTCCCATCCAGGGACCTCCCTGAGTATGCCGACACGTATGTATCCATGATCCAGTGCTGGTTAAGGCTAGGGTTGGATCATAACATCAGGACCCTTTGGGGGGGTGCTGGCTCTGTCTGTTTCTCTGGCTCATGGAGGAAATTTTAAAAAAGAAAACAAATGTTTGGTAAAGCTGAAATTATGAGACTCAGAAAAAACTGAGAGATTATCAATGAAAGAACCTCAGTATCTAAAGGCTACTATCCTCCAACCCCCAAGAAGCTGCTGCTAACTGACTCCTCTTAACGCAGAACACAGGAAATGGGCCTTCGCTGGAGAAGGGCCTTGGACGAGGCTCTCTGAAGCACAGTCCTGGCAGAGGTCAGGCTGACTTGGTGCCAGTGGAGAGAATGGCGAGCACAAACGGGGCACCTGCTTGCCTGAGCCCACCCTCAGCTCCATCATTAGCTGCATTAGGCAAGATCCTTGTTAAAGTTTTAGGTTCTTTATCTATAAAAAAAGCAACAGTGCCTTCTTCAGAGGGTTTCTGTGAGGATGAACTGAGATGCTTCAGTATGTGCAGAGCACTGGTCCATAATGCGCACTGATAAACATTAGTGTGAAGACTTTGTTCCGAGCTTGAAAAGAATAATAAGTCTGATCCTGACGAAGCTCCATGGCGAGGTGCTAGGCACGAAGCTCCATGGCACAATGCCCGTCTATGCCAGAGACTTCCATACCTACGAGAGATCAGGAAGCCAGCCATCCAGCCTAGCAGTAACATAATGCTCCACAGGCCAAAGCCACATGGGAAGGTCCCAGGTTTGCGTCCTGAAGCCTCCCTGTACACAGCAGGCGGGCCTGTGTGCCTGTCATACTGGCTAGCTGAGGCTGAGGTGAACCATGGTGGGATGACCCTGTTGGGGTGTCTCTCCTTCTCATGGAAGAAATAAGCTTTAAAAAGAGAGAAAGATAAGAAAGAGCCAACCCCAAGGTGCAGAGATAATGTGATGCCCAGGAGAAACCAGATCCCACACAGCAAACCAGTTTAGAACACTGGCCCAAAACATGCCAGGCACACGTATGACTGCCTAAGATCTGATGGGCTGGAGAACTGGAGGAAAGGGATCGTGGTGTGACCAGACCCTGTGGAAGGGGCTTATCTCTCTCTCTCCCTCACATGCACACGCTCTATCATGAATAAAGAGAGAGAAACGAGGAAGTACACAGACTCTCCCAGCCCTGCAGACAGACTCGGATTCACACAACCTTCTTGCACGTGCAGGGGAGCCAAGTCACAGGTGTCAGAGCTCGATTCTGAGTGACGTAATGATCTCTAGTCCCTTCTAGCTCTCAACACCGTTCATTAGGGAGAGCTTCCCGTCCTTGGCTGTGTGGACATTTAGGAGCAGGGGACTAAGGGCTGGGGCTTCTCATCTATAAGTGGATGATGAGAAACACCTTGCCATTTGCCAGGTCTGGGGCAGACTGCAAGTGGTGGCTCTGGTGGATACTGCCACGCATAGTCCTATCCCTGAAGGAGGGCAGAAACAGGCTCAGGTGAGAAAACTACCAAACTCCTTCACTGCTGGCCCTACTCCCCAGACCACCTTCATGCCACACCCGTTGGAAAAAAATCCAAACAGCTCTTTGCAGTAGCTAGACAGGAGCTTGGCCTACTAGCTCCATCGGTGTTAGGAGAGTCCCTGGCACAGAAAGTGAGCACAGACTGAGGCTGGGCCCAACACAAGGGTGCCAGGCCGCAGTCACTGCCGTGGCCCTGACACTTTCTCCAGCCCAAGGCACAGCCCCGCCCCCTGCCCTTCCCCACACCCCATACCTGGTCACAGATGAGATCCCACTTCTTCTCATTGTCATACTGCCGCAGGAGCCGGGCCTTGTCAGGAGGCAGGTTCATGGAGCTCTGAAGAGAAAACCTGAGTCAACAGGGTTGACCCCTTCCCTGACTTGGAGGAGAGAAAGCCTGGGCTGCCCATGACTGCCCCCACCACCACGTCAGACTTCACTGGACATTACTGCTGATAAGGGAGGCTTGGAAAGGTGGGGCGGTCCTCGGCTCCCCTCCAATTTACTCTAGTTTGGTTGAGCAATGCCTTCCAAACCATAGGTTATGAAATCAATATTAGGAAGTCAGGATTAATTTTACTTGAAAATAAAATGAACACACTAAAATAGAACAAGATAGAAAATATCAGAATCTACTACAAGTAGGAAGTAAAATAATGTTTCATGAAGCTTTTCGTTTATAATATATATGCACACACGTGAATATATATGAATAGGTCATGTTGTAAAATGTACTTAACATAAGACTGGTTAAAAAATCTGAAAACTGGGACCAGCAGTTGGCGTAATGGCCATGTTGCTGGACTCCCATGTGGTCGACCACGGTTTGAGTCCCCGACCCCGGTGGCTTAAACTCACGCCGGGCGCGTGTGAATGCGTGCCCAAGATCCCGAGAGGAGAATGGAGGAGAAGGGATTGCAGTGGGGCCAT